GGGGGGGGCTGCAAACGTACCTGCCGAACTGTTGTACAAGCTGTCACTCCACTCTTTCTTTGTTTGTTTCCATGGTGGTTCATGCTACTTCCCCTAAACCCTTTCCCTCGCCGCTCGCGCGCGTCGTCGTCGCACCACTGCAGATGAGAAACTTCAATGTTAAAACACCTTCAAGTCTTTGGACCTTTCACCATGCCGTTCCATCGCCTTCCTTCTCAACGTGGGAACTGAGTGTAACTGAAAACCAATGTCAGAGTGTGCAGGACAGGGAGGTTGTCAGTAAAGCCTTGTAGTCTTGTACTTTGTACAGTAGTTGTCTAGAATAGACAGCCTCCAGCAGGCCAAACCAAGTGCAGGAAAGCTGCAATCATTGTAATTTCCAGGAGTTGTCATGAAAGACACATAGTTCTCACGAAGCCTGTCCTGCAAAGATTCAGGGTGAAGTCTCATTCACCGTTTGAACCCTTGTGAGCAACAAGAATTGACTATGATTTGTATATATTGGCATTTGTTGTATCTTTCTTGAGACAACCACAACCTCTTGTCCACTCGCTGACTATAGCAGTTGCTGCTTGTCTGTTCTTGAAGTCCCAGTCTCCTGGACAAACTGACCCCCGTTCTCAGCGATGGTCTTGTAAGTCAAGCGCACCAGGTCGCAATCCACCGTGTTCTCACCTCACGAAGCCAAGCACTGAAGCTCCAGCTGGAGCAGCTGAGAAGTGATCTTTCCCGACAGCTGACTGACCCAGGCCTCGCCTTTCTCCAAGGTGCAGTGATAATGATGTGCCCTTCCCCTGGCGGCAATCGACCCATTGATGGACCCATTGGCGGAGCCAAACATGTTCAAGAAGACCAAACAAAGGCTGACAACAAACTATGTCTCTCACAAGTCCTCTATCTCCATGTCCCATTGCCCATTAACCAAATCGATCAGCCTGGCCCAGTAGGGCTTCTTTCCATGGGCAATGACTGAGCCAATGATGTCGCCATCATTGCTTCCACGCCCCGCTCCTATGATCGCTCGGCACGCCCAGACGCACACACGCACACCGAGACGGCTCGATCCTCTGAGTCTTCCCGATGCCTTCGGGGTGAATCCCCAAGTGAACATGGCGCCATGTGGGGAGTGGCTGTGCGAATCCCCGACCTGCCCTTGGTCCGGACCTGGGGGTCCCCCCAAAATCCCTGCGTCCACCATCCACCTGTCAGCATGACTGACACGAGACGAGATCCGATTGAGAAAGGCTCAACAAGTCACGGGCTGATTGACCAAGATCTGGCTGTACAAGAACTCACAAGTCCTTCGCAGCTGGGTGGGAGTTTACATAGTGAATCATAGTGATCTACGAGCCTTCTCAGCATGGGAGTTTGAGACTAATTGTAGCTGTGCCATTCCTGTCGCACCTACCATTGTCCCCGGAATCCTCCGGTGTTGGAGAGCGCCATGATAGAGCCGCGCAATTCCACTTTCGGTTTGACCTTGGGCCAACATCAACCACGGATCGTTGGCATGAGCAGTTCCGAAGTAGGTGAGCAGCCACATAGCTACCAGTGGTATTATATATAGTTTATCACGATATCTCTTACGTGGCAGTTTCGCTGAGGCCCGCACATAGCCAGTGATCTTGCCGTAGTCACTCTGCACCTGCGCCTGTCCTGCTTGAAGAGTGAGGCTTCTAGAGGATCGTCCACACAATGAAGGTCCAGTCCTCCATAGTACCAATGGGTAGGCATAGCCATGGCATCTGCAATGTGCAAACCCCACAAGGCTCCAGCCACCTTTGAACACATGCAAAGCATAATTGCATCTAATCTAATCATACATAAACATAACTATAATAGTAATATATATATATCACACTATATCTAATCATTCCTTTCTTATAACTGCACAAGATATATGTGAGGACGTGGAAGGAAAACCAGCTGCAGGCCACATGTCTCACGCACTGCCGTCGCTCTCGTTGTCTTTCTGGGGTTTACTCCATGAAGCTGGAAACGTATCTATATAGTAATACTTTATATATATATATGCATCGAATATGAACTAAAGAATCGATCGTTCATGGAAGCCCAGCAATCCAAAGGCCGCGATTTGCTGATGCTAGGGTCTTGACCCGATCTGAAAATGTGGTAGAGAACGCCTCTACCGGAGCTTTGCTCGCCATCTTTCCTGCATCAGGAAAAAACACAAGGTACTTTCGACATCTTTCGACTGCGCAATCTGGAGCATCTGAAGACTGAAGATGTTGGACTTATGATGCGTCAGCTCTTACATTTTTATGAAGCTCAGATTAGCTTGCACCGAGGCCTGCTTTAGGCCCGGCCAAGTTGCTCGAGGCAACTTGACCCATCTGTCCCGCCGTCCTACTCTCTGCTTGAGACCAAATTTCCGAAGGAGACAAGACAAAATGAGTCCCTGATCTTGCTTTCCGAATGCCATGGCTGTCTATGGCTGTGGGTCAAAATGTTCCCTGGTATTTCCACTGCGGCTTTGGGATTGGGTCCAGATTTGTGACACCAAAACTGCATAAAGCGTATGAGGCCCAAACATTCCCAGAATCGCCAGCTCAAACAGCACCGTCCTTGAAGCCAACTGAGTGAATCAAACTCTCCTTACAATGTATCAGCATATTACAACTATAGTTGGACTGTGAATTTCTAGGTCTAGGCATCTCTAGGCTGTCTAGGCTCAAGACTTTCCAGCACCAGTGGGGGCGCTAACAACCTCAGGCTGAAGGTGTTGGCTCACAGCCCACGTCGTGGATTCCATCGTCATTAGAGTCAATTTCAGTATATCCATCGAAACTCCCCAATGCGCTATGAGGCTCTTAGTATAGGACAACAGAATAATAGAGAGCAACGATAACAACATGTTATCGCATGGAAGTCGTGTCAATGTCGGATCTTCGTCTTGACATGTGTCAAATTGCAGTCATGCTCAGGCCATTCTGCTGAGGTTTGATCCATGTTGCCAGTCCCATTGTAGAGTTCTTTCCAGCAAGCGGCCTCCGTTGCGCAATTGGAACACATCCATGTATTCGAACGTCTCCCATTTGAAGGTCTGGAACCGCACCTGCACTGCATTGAAGGTCTCGAACTTGAAGCACCCTGCATGTTGAGGCCTCGCTTGGATGGTGAAAGTCCCTTCGGCATCGCAAGCAAGTCTTCCACGGTTCCAGAGCTTTGGACAGTAGGCATTTACCAATTCGCCTTGGCAGACATGGAAGTTCCAAACGCGTCACGAATTGACGCGAGCCAACGTCCAAAACACCCTGAGAGTCGAACGTCCAGTTTCGGCCATGCCGCACATCGCCTGGGAACGTCGACCGTGCCGGGGATCTCTGGTTCGGTCGCCTGCCTGGACTCCGACGTGCAGCGATCCGTGTGGGCTTCTCATGGACGTGGTCCTGCGAAAGGGATTTGGTTCCAAGGCAAGGGACTGGCCATCTCGGTACTTGAACTTGACATTTCAATCGGGATGAGGTGTGTAGACTTATGATTACTCTGGCTCGTTGTTTCTGGCTCGTTGCATCAAACTTCGGTTCACCGATTCTGGAAGTTACTTGATCAATCAAACTTCAATCCGTCCCAAAAAGTGAACTACTGCTGTGCTCCGTCCCAATATTTACGGCGCCTCACCTCCGATGAACCCACAGTTGTCACTGTTGCCGCCGTTTCAGTGCCTACTTCTGTTGGGTGCTTAGGCTAGCCGAGTCAGAAGCTTCGAGGTTATTCCCACGGTGCATACCCACCATGCGCATGTCTACAGCATGCCGCAAGCCAAAGCCTTAGAGCCAAAGCCGCCATTCAACCGCAAAACCCTCCAAGCCGCCATTCCATCCTCTCCTCCCTGTGGTTGGACCAATTGCTGCCGATGTGTCCGGATGGTGCAAGGTCTGCATCTGAATAAGCGTGTTGAACCCAAAAAAGACACGAAGCGATGGGAAGATGGGAGGCATTCTCCGGAGGATCCAATTGAGTGGTGTCATAAACCATCCAGTAAATACTTTAAGTATAAGAGGCTAGAACCAATAAAAAGATCCATATATCATACAGTATGAACAAATATCTTTTCAAGTGAGTTATGTATACTAATGACCAGGCAGGACGACAGGTACGTACTTGTATCCACGAAGAAGGCACGCTTCTCAGCCAGATATATTTGTTTTAGCAAATTTTAGCAATATTGTGTGTTATCTATAAGGCTATAGTTCATACATCTTAGGATGTTGCAGTGGCAACATTGATCCACTACGTGGCTCAGTCCAGGCAACCTTGTCTCCAAATGCTTATGGAAGATGAGAATAATGGATTTCAAATGCAGTCATCCAGCATGCGACTGGATCTGTGGCAAATAAACATTCTATAACATTCTAACAGGGCATTGAAAAAAGCTGGGAACTATACCTCAATCTTATTGTTGACAGTAATAAAACAGCACACACCATCTCTGCTTGGAGCATTATTGGCTTCACTTTGTTTCCAAAAAGTCCAGGACTAGTGAACATCTGATAAACCGCTGGGTGTGTGTGTGTGTGTACTCAATTTTGACACAGATCTGCATCCAGACGGCAACTTCTTGGTTGTAGTGCTTGTATCATGCTTGCTTCTCCATGATCACGCCTATCCATCCGTAACGGTGCCCAGCAAGATGCGCACCCTGAAATTGAAGATGCCCAGGTCCTGACGAAGCCCGTTCCTCCCTCTGCAGGTGTTTCGTTGCACATGATCGTTCGGTTCACAAGTTGCGGCCATTGGAAACGTGGGTTGTGGCCATTGGAAACGGAATCATTACTTGTGAGTGATACAACGAAAAAAGCCAATTCCAACCATTCATGACCAAGCACAACGTTCGAAAAGCATGCTTGGCTCGGCATCTTGTGAAAAGCAGGGGCCACTACGTACAACTTGCGACGATTCGTCTATGCAGTCTCTTGCATGTCCGATTACTTATGGCAATGGGCTCTATACTGCCAGATTAGTATCCAAACAGTTGTCTTGGTTGGGCATACAGGCATGCAGTCTTTTATAACTACCAAGACAAAAGCTCTTGCTCAAAACATCTGTCTAGTCTTGTTTGTCCGAATTCTTGGATGGGAGACTGAACTCTGAACTCCATTCATCAAAGTAGTGAACCGATCCACGACCCCCCAAGAGGACTGCGCAGCTGCCTTTTTCCATCCAGGATGATCCTCAACGATTGTGAGATGCACATGGATCAACATTTGCTGCATTGCAAGTTGTTTGATTGCTTCATTTCATGTCGACATGCGCCAATACTTGGAGGAGCTTGGTGTTGGAGACGTCTCCGACGTTCGGATCTGAACATTCTGCAAGGTCTTGGGAATCATCACCTTGGTAGATTGGTAGATCAAGGTGATCTCCAAATGGTTTCGTTTCACGGGTCAAGTGCCTTCTCTAAAGGGCTTTAAGGGTTTAAAGGCACGTATGGAGATATCTGATCCGTAAACGGGAAACCAAAACTCTAAAATGGATCAAGTTCACTCCCACACTTCCAACACGATCCCAACGGTCCATCTCCAAGAACTCAGGATTCATCAATCGAAAGCGCAAGGCCAGCTGCTGCCAGTCCCCTTGGAATTTCAAGGAATCCACCTGTCCAGTGACGGTACGGGTGTTGATTTGTACCAAACGACCTCGGTACAATGGATCGACGTGGTGAAAATCCTATGGTTTCTGCTGGCGATCCCAACAATTTGAGCTGAGAGACTGTCAATCACAGGCAAATATTTGGCCCCCGAAGGTTTGCCTGGCAAAATCTCTTTGGAATGGTTGTAGAAATACCATGGTGCTCGCGTCTCAAAGTCGAAGGGCACTTGGCTGGGAGGGCATGTGTCCTTGATACCGGCAAGGCCGATACCCGCAGAACCATTCGATCTGCAGAAAACGTGAGAAAACAATTGCAGCAGCAAGACATTCATTTAAATTTGGAGGCAGTTCAAAAGCCTCGGAATGACACACACCCAAGCAACGAAATGAATCAAGGTGCTAAGCTAGGGTTGAAAATGATCAAGATTATTTTTGTTCTATTTGTATTTTACTATATATATTATATACAGTATATACACCTACAAGTGTGTTCAAAAAGTAACAAACAGAATACGATTTAAATGAACATGTTCCTCTATCTTCTGCCACGATGCGATCACCTGTTCTTCATTTTCTTTCCTAGCCTCATCGGAGGAAGCAAAATCATCTGAGAGGAAGTGAACCACCTGAGACGACGATGGGCGATTGACGGTGAGTTTCACACAACAAATACATCGGAAGAGCATTCATAGACCATATCAAATTCCTCCTACAGTATATGGACGACCAACTACCAACGCTCTGGCTGGTGTATGTTGCACCCTGATCACATACATTTTGCAAGCCCTCAGCTGACATCCACAACCGCTCATTTGGGTCTTCCAAGTCAAAATCATCTTTGTGATCAAGATATCCTAGAGACTCAAACATGGACGACAATTCAGGAGAGCTGATGCACAAGTGAATCACAGTTGTGATGAGGCTTGCCTTGAAGTGTTCCCATCGCTCTAGGCAAAACTCAAGATACGCATGAAGAGTCATGAACAAACATTGAACAACCACATGAGGCGCATTCCGAAAAGAAGCGGGAAATCCCCACATCTTCCCTCACAAAATCACATCATGACCGAATCACAGTCATACTAGTCCACCATCCTGGAATCCTTCCTTTCACTACAAACGGGCTTTACCATGCAGAGACAAAGACTGCACCCATGCACCGTGGAGGGCGCCGCCGAACTCCGAAAAAGACCTCATCCATTGCCATCCACTCTCCTTCCACCGTCGGCTCCGCAGATCGCTGCGTCGGCCTTGGGAGGTTTCAACTTCTCCGGATCGCTGCAGCCGTCACGTAGGGCGGCCTCGGCCTTGGAGAAGGCCTGGCCGGAGCAGGTGTCTCGCGTGGTGTCGGGGTGCATGTGTCAACAAAAATGACAGGTTGCAAGGACTGTCAGAGTCACTTGGATTGCACGGTTTGGAGCACAATGGATGGGTTTTGTTGCTGGAAATCTATTGAACCTTTCCAGATAAACAAAAGGGAGTTCATTGTTAGGCCCAGGTCTACTTCATGCGTTGCTCTGTCAAGTTGCCCCTCTGACCCATCCCCTACACCTGGGGCGCTGTCAAAACAGCAGTGACTGCATAGGAGCCATAGAGGAGAACCTCGAGCGGCGGTGCAGAGTGGTGTAAGCCGCCAACGCTGCCCCACTCCCTTATGCGACATAACCCGACCCTTTGTAGTAGCCATAGAACACTTATGACACTATAACATTACACAAGTTGATGCGAATTCAGTCGATACCCCAAGTATCATGGGGTTCCAAGTAGTTGTATCCTATTGGAAGCATGTCTAAAGGAGAAATGATCGACAACCAATACAGGCGTTCAATGAAGGAACCACTACCACGAGGCAGCTTGTACACCGGAGGATAGTCCAGTATTACTGCAAAGAAGCTGGCTCCAACCTATCTTATCTTGCCATCCGGATGTCCAACTGGTGGTATCTTGCTTTGAACTGTATCAAGGAACACATCATCGAGGTGTCCAAGAACGTCAGTCCTGTAGGGAAACATGATACTACATGCCAGTTCTATGTTGAAAACACAAAGGTGTTGCAACTGGCGTAACTGGGCAACGTATCTGCTATGCGGACAGAGGAAGAAACCAAACTCAACGATTGTTTCAAAAGGTCAGGAGAAATATGCAATGCTCCAAAATAGTTTTCTGAGCATGCCAGGTTAGGAACATTGGCAGTCACTGCCAGCATCGCCACATCGTTCTGAATGAAGCCTGAGATGTCCGTGTAGAGTGCATATCGATGTGTGAGGTTTTGCCATACCGTCAAATTCAAGCTGAACTCGTTCCGGCCAGTCTTGTCCAAGTGTTCCTGCAGCACGGACCGAGCTTTTTTTGACGAACGAAAACAACTCACTGCAACATGTAGTGCGCCACCGAAAACCGCTCAGTAGAGTGAGCGAATCACACCAAAAAAAATAAGTTCAACCTACTGTGGTTCATTGTGGTTCCACCATTGATGTCAAATCTGGGGACACTTGCCTGGCAGTTGGATGTTTATTTCGCACCAAAAGCCAACTGCATACTAATGGGGTCCATGTTCTACCTACTATCCAAGAGCTTTCACAGGGCGAGCATCGGTGACGTCGATATAAATTCCAGGTTCCACACTTCCAGGGCACCAGCCATTCCTGCTCTCATACCAGGTGCCATGCTGGGCAGGACCCCCCGGGTTCAAGTAGCAGTCATCTCGCCACTGCGTCACGTTGGCAAAGTTCTGACCATTGAGATGAAGATGATAAATCGCATGGCAATACCTCGAATTCTGCAGACATGCATGCGTATGTGAGGAACATCCCTTTGATGCATACGGTCATTTGAGGACAAGAAGTCTACAACTTGGGGAATTCCTAGAGCTACACTCGCTGAAATCATCATGAAAGTGGAAAACACCCAGCTGTTTGTAAAGGAAAATGGTCATCCTCTATGTCGCTCTGTTACAGCTACCGTCGTTGACTGAAAAGTGCGACACCTTGCATGACCCACCTGACCTCGCAGCTGGACCGAGGGTGATGGCCTGCATCTCGAGGCCCAAACAAACATCCAAATGAGACAAACTTGACATCCGACAACCTCTCACAGACTCACAGACTCACGACCTGACATATTATAGGGTATCATAGACATTACCTATGACACCCTTGACATCCTACAACCTATATACATCAACCTATGATACAAACTTATGATATACTTGACATCTGACAGCCTTCATACACCATCTTTGCCCAGTTCCCACCAAAAAGGACTGAAATGTCCTCGGCGGAACAAGATTCAGGGGACCCACTACAGTCAGGCATTGCCTAGGTCATCTTGTCCCTTACCTTTCAGGGGATGGTCTCTTGCAATTCCCCCAAAAGGTGACCCACATGGTCTCAGCAGTCACACTGACGGCGCCCGACGTCGGGGGGGCCACCGACTCGAAGAAACAAGCTGCTCTCCACATGATTCAGAGGTGGCCGCCCATCCATGGCCAGTGATGGTGAGGTGCAAAATCGCACGTTCGTTCACTTGAAGGTTCGGCTCAAATTGCCTGGCGCTCAAAGAGAGATCTGAGAGAGGCGCTGATAGGCCGGTCTGTCTGATATAGACCTGTCCAACCTTGGCGATACTTGAATATATTGTCTTGAACTATGAGAACTATCAGGAGATTTCCCAAAAAAGCAATGGCTCATTATCATCATGGCTCATTATCCCAAAATGGCTATTTGGGTGCGTCCCTTAATTTGAGACAAACAATATCTTCATGGTACCGTCTTACACCATGTGGCAGTTCTGCAGAGAAGAACAAGGGCGAGCAAAGAAGCTTCGTCAGATAGAAGAGAACCACATTCAAGTTTCTGTGATGGTGATCGTCAAATCGGTTTATTCCTCTCCTTCCTTTCTTCCATCCACATTTCCTAATTATCTGTCACTGCCACATCTCCAGGCCCATTCCGCACCTCGAAAAGACATGGCCCTGGGTGTTCTTCTGCACCACACAAACCTTTGTCTCCCCCAACTCACTGCGGCCAAGGGCTTTCGAGTCAATCCTGCCCAATGGCTTCTTCTCCTGGAAA